ATTGGATTTCAAAATATACTATAAAGCTACAATAATAAAAACAGCATTATAATGTCAAACAATATAGATACATAGACCAATGGAACAGAACAGAGAACCCAGAAATAAATCTACATATGTGCAGCCAGTCAATAGTTGATAAATGTGCCAAGAACATGCAGTGGGGCAAAAGATAGTCTCTTTAATATATGATGCTGGGAATACTGGACATCCTGATGCAGAAGAAAAAACTAGATTCATATGTCTTACCATATAAAAAAATAAATTCAGAATGGATTAAAGACTTAAACATAAGGGGCCAGCAGGTGGCATGGTGGTTAAGGGTGCTGGACTCCCACATGGCCAACTGCAGTTCAAGTCCCATACCTGGTGGCTTACTTTCTCACTTTCCCTCTCCCTCTCTCTTGTTCTGTCCCTCTCTGACCAAATTAAAGTATATACATATACATACATACATAAACAAAATTAAATAATAATTTTTTTAAGAGGTTTTTCGCTATAGGGCACGTGCGCTCGCCAGACAGACAGAGAGAGACGTAGAGACAGAAAGCGAAAAATCACCCCCCAGGGGGGATGGTCACGCTGCAATCCCTTCTCCTTCATTCTCCTCTCAGGATCTTGGGCATGCATGCACATGCGCCCGGCTGAACAATGGTCAACTACGTGGGAGTCCAGCGACATAGCCATTACGCTAACCGCTGGTTCCCAATAAAATAATTCTTTAAAAAGAAAGACTTAAACATAAAACCTGAAAGTATGAAGGCACAGATTAAACATAAAATCTGAAACTATAAAGGCACTAGAAGAAACAGAGAGAGAGCATTTCAAGATATTGTTATGGGCAAAGGGTTCATAAATAAAGGCTCACAGCACAAACAAAAGCAAAAATAGATAGATGGTATTATATCAACTAAAAAGCTTCTGCACAGCAAAGAAAACAATCAACAGAATGAAGAGACAACCTACAGAATAGAAGAAAATATTTTCACAGTACATTTCTGACAAGGATTTAATGACCAAACTATATAATGAACTTAAAACAACCCACCCAAAAAGAGAGAGAGAAAGAGAGAAAAGAAAAAGGAATCCAGTTTTAAGTGAGCAACTGATCTAAATAATCAGCTCTCAGAAGAAGACATACAAATAGTCAAAAACATATTAAAAAATGCTCTACATCATTAGTCATAAGGGAAATGCAGATCAAAACCTCAATGAGATATAATCTTACCCCTGGTTGGAATAACTATTATCAAAACGACAAAAAAAATCAAAAACAAAACAAAAAAACACAAAGAAACAAAACAACACAGATGTTGGCAAGGTTACATAGAATGGGTAGACTCTGTGCTTCTGCACTGTGGTCAGGAATGTAAATTAGCACTGTCATTATGTAAAACAGTGTGAAGTATCCTCAAAAAAACTAAAATAAAAACTGCTAATGATCTAGCAATCTTACTTCTATGCATATATCCAAAGGACAGGAGTTCAGTATATTGTGAAGACATCTGCACCACAATATTTATTGCAATGCTATTCACAATTGTCAAGATATGGAATCAACCTGTTTACATCAACAAACAGATAATGGAAATGTTATACACATGCAACACAATACTATTCAGCCATTAAAAAGTACAAAATCCTGTCATTTGAGGTTAAATGGGTAAGCCTGGAGGACAGTACGTTAAATGAAATAAGCCAGGCACTGAGAGAAATATCATACATTTTCCCTTAAATACAGAAATTGGAAAAAAAATAAATAAAAAAAACCTCATAGAGGTAAAGAGATGAAGAATGACTGCTCACAGGCTGGGAAGGATGAGTAGGTAGAGGAGAGAGGATAGATGGATTTTGGCTACCAGAAAAAAATTATTGCAAATAGATAGAAAGGACAATTTATAGTGGTTATGAATTAATCTTACCTAGACATCAAATAAGTACCTCAAACTGTATATGGGGGGTATTAAAAAGTTCATGAAAATGAATGAAAAATTATGCACAGATTTTGAAAAATTTTTTAAATTTACCAAAATAAACTCATACTTTAATTCCATTTTTCCACAAACTTTTTCAAGTCCCTTTATATAACCAGAATCAAACTTTTTGTCTTCCCCATCGTCCTTCCTTAAATCCCTATGATGTCTTTTAATTTCAACGTCATCAGTAACTCAGGTCAGAATTTGTTTTATCTGTGACTTTTATTTCTTCCTTATCCTTCATTTAACCAGTTATCAAGATGAACTGTTTCATTTTCCAAAACAGCTTTTAATTATAGTCATTCAATTATCCATCCAACCAATATTTCCTGAGTTCATATCATGTGTTATGTATATAACTGAGATTATTTTGATGTGTATCAAATTAATTAGGTTCTTCTCCCAAAAAGTTCATAGTCTAATAGAGAGAGAGAGAGAGAGAGAGAAACATCAGCAGTTATAACTTCTGAGAATAAATGCTTGATAGATTATTTTTCTGGAAGACAGGAAACAAATATCCATTAATAGATTTTGGAGGAATAGAGAAAGCTTACTGGATAACGTGATATACGACGTGCAGATGTTAGCTTGGTGAGAGCGGGCACAGGAAGACAGAGAGATATCTAGACATAAAGAACAGCATATAAGAAACTTAGAGTTGAATAAGTATGGCATAGTTTGAAACTCTAAATACATTTAGGTGAAATAATATGCTTTTGGAAGTTGGTAGGTGTCTATAAAAACAGAGAGACAGAATTAGATCACAAAGAACCTTGTATAAAAGGCAAAGAAAACAAGCTTTAACCTGGAAGCAGTGGAGATCATTGAATGACTTAAGTGCAAGAGTGACATGATGTTTATGAAGCTTATTCTATCATCAGCTTGAAGGCAGATTTGAAGACATGCCAGAGTGGAGGCAGGAAGAACAACTAGAAGGCTATCACACTAATCCTACTGCAAAATAAGGAGGACCTAGACTTCAACACTGGCAACGAGGATGGTTTGAAGGAGAAAGAGGGGAAATTTTGAGTCAAAGGAAAGATTGGGATAAAGGTGATAATTGATGGCAAGAGGTTATTCAGGAGTCAGGAGAGAATCTGATGCAAAACATATGTGGAACTCTAAGAGGTAGAGGAATATTTCTATGAAGATAGAAAAGGGGGGGGAATTGTCGTACATAGGGATATGTTTGTGGTGGTAGGGAGAGGTTTATCAGATAAAACACAGTTAAATTTGAATTTCAGATACACAACAAATAATTCATGGTATATTTTCTAAACATTGCACACCCCCTTCTCACAAATTTCCTTTTCCTGAACGCCTTACATCCCACTTACTTGTCTGCTTTGCAAATTCCTACATTTATCATGTCAGCTCAAGTGTTCCCTTCTGTGTATGCATGAGCAAATTTCCCTAACCCTGTGCTCTCCAGTATTACATATTATATATTATTCATTTTGATTATTATTAAGGGTTTCCAACATCCTCTCTCTAGATTGTAAGTTTCTTCAAAGTCAGGATCAGGACTTTTCATCTTTGTAGCCCTAAGGTCCAGTAGAATGGCTCTGTCAGAAAACAGCCAGCCAATCAGTATTTGCCAAATGAATTTATGTCCTATTTCAGATATTTATTACTTCCTATGTAGATTTTTCTAGTTCATCTCCATGCTGTCAATTTCTCGTCTCTTTTTATTTATTTTTTATTTTTATTTTTTTGCTATAGGGTGTGTGCACTTGCCAGAAAGGCAGAGAGAGATAGAGAGAGAGAAAGCGAGAAATCACCCCCCCAGGGGAGACGGCCATGCCACAATCCCTTCTCCTCCATTCTCCTCTTGGGATTTTGGGGAGGCAGGCACATGCGCACGGCCTGAGTTTAAGCCACCAGGCCCGGGACTCAAAGCACGGTCGGCTACATGGGAGTCCAGTGACATAGCCATTACACTAACTGCTGGTCCCAATTTCTCCCCTCTTTAAAGCATCCTCCATATTGTCATAAGAGGCATGTTTTTAAAACATAAACCATCCAGGAGACTTACTACTTAAATATCTCTGATTACTTACAGCACCCACAGGATAATGGAAACTTTTCTGTGTGGTACTGAATGTTCTCCACAATTTAACCTCAATGCTAAGTACTTAAGAACTCAGACTTTGAAACCATATTTGCATTAGAATCTTGGCTATGTCACTTGATAGTTATGTGACTTCAAGTGAGTAACAGTCATCTATAAAATGAGGATAATAACTATCTTATAATGCTGTTGTGAAACTCAAATTAGATAATACCTGCGTTTACTATAGTACTATAAAACTTGACACCCTAGTACACTAACAATTATAGCTATTGTTAAAATGCTTTCAAGCTTCATCTCTATGCCTTCATCTTTCTCTATTCACACTGATACTTTCTACAGGAGCTGTATTTCATAGCTTGCCAATCCTCCAAACTTCAGGATTTTCCATCCTTTCACGTGCTTATTCACAATGCTTTATTTGTTTACAATGCTCATTCCACATCAGTCTATGTAGTACTTAAAATTCTGCTATGGATAATTCCTTGCATACATATGCAACAACAGTATGGAAAATAAAAAAATGCTTAGGCTTCTTCAGGTACTGGTGCTATAATGATGTTCCAGTATACCATAGGCTTTGTTTTATTTTAATAAGTGCTTATTTTATGAGTCCTAAAAGATTTAAGTGTCAAAAATTCTCATTCATTTATTGTATTTTACTGACTTTTAGAGTTGAACTTTTTTCTCAATATCTTCTAAGAAATGATTTTGAGTGATTTACATTCTTTGAAAAATTGTCACCCTAATGTAAGTCTATACCAAATAAATTTTTTTTCAATTTTCTGAACTCTGCAAAAAGTTTATTAAATGTACTTAAAATCGCTCAAAAATTCCAGAAAATTTCTGATAGTCCTAAAATCCTTTTTCCCATGTACTGAGAACAGAGATGATAAAACCCTAGATATCTATAATTCTTCAGTTCTTTCATTTATTAATTAATTTATTTTTACCTTTGGTCCTTCAGGGCCATTTTGTCCAGGAATCCCAATATCTCCTGGAAAACCCTAGGAAACAAACAAACAAACAAAACATAGAGAGAGTTTATACCATAACAAATTACTGTAAGTCTATTAAGCACATAAAAATTTGCCTTTCTTTTATGCCTAGTTAAAACAATTTATACTTCTCAAAAACTCAATAATAAAAATGAGTTAATTTAGGCAGATATTTAATATGGAAATACAACATTTATAAAATATACTAAGACAGAATTATCATCATCAGTTTTTACAAATAACTCTCAGGCCCAAAAAAGGCCTCTAGTCCAGACTAAAAGAATATAAGTCTTAATAAAAAATTATCCACAATTTGAAAATAAGACAAAAAGATATGCAATAGGTCCTTCAATGTCACACAAGTTATGGAGCTACAGAAGATTAGATGAATCTATTTGTTAGACTCATTGACAAAGTACATGCTAACTTGTAGATATTTATATTTAGGGGGAAATGCAAACAACTCTGTCTGGTTAAAAAAATTACCTCAAAGATTATGGCTCAAAATATAGGATTAATCGGTTTTGTATATCTCAACTATCTTATCCTAACATTCCTGTATTTAATTGTCTGCAAGTGTTCAGTTTCTCAAAAGTTCTTTAAACTCAACATCTTACTGGTTCCTGACCAGCCAGACACATGTTTATTTTATATTTGCATAAGAATGAGGTTTTACCTTTTTGAAAATTATCAAGAAATAGAAATAGGCCAAGTATCAAGATCTGTGGTGATAAAAGACCTAGGTTGTTGTGCTAAAATGGTTAATTAAAATTATTATTAAATAATTAATTAGAATTTAACTTATGGTCAATTTCAAAAACGTTGATAACTGTGGTTTAACTTGTATTGATTTTGTTATAGATAGAACTGTTCCATGTTTTTCATTGACATGGGGAAAGAAAAATAGTAAGACAAGTATAACAGAATCTTCAAAACTAAAGAAGGTTGCAATTAAAATATGAATGTAAGCAGGAAAAGGTATGTCAGTGAAAGGATAAATGTTATGGGAATAAAAATCCCAACAAATAAGATGGAACAGCAACATTGATTCTGCATGTTCATTCTGGGAAGAAAACAAGTAAGAAAGTTATACTTATCATCCGTCTGGATTAGGACAGAAATGCCTTAACTCAGATTAAACCCAGGTTCTGTGAAGAGAAATTTCTGACAAAAGAAAAGGCAGTGGTGACAGAAAGACTGATCACAGGATCAGATTTCTGGAAGTTCTGGAATAGTTTAATACTGATATATTTAACACGGACATGTCAATTACTTTACTACTCAAAACAAATCTAATCACAGAATGTTAATGATGGGTTAATTTGTGTTAATACTTGTATATATGGCAGTTTTTTTTTTTTTTTTTTTTAAGATTCGTTTTTTGAAAAT